CACTGGTGGATACAGAGGATGAGCTGTACTCGACCTATTCGATTCGGGATGTGTTGGACACGAATGGAATGCCACCGCCTCAAACGCAGCAAATTCACGTGCTGGTGGTGGTTCCGGAGGCGGTTGATGGGTCAGTGAGTGAGGCATCCAAGATGGATCAACTTGTCGAACAGGTCAACCAACTGAACGACCAACTGAAAAAATCTGTGCTGGGAAAACGCAAGGTTTGCCACTCGAGCGCGAATTCGAGTCTTTTGAACACGTTGCATGTTAGAGTGCGATCCTCCCGCGCGGTTCAATTCAAGACTGATAACAGTATTCTACCATTTCCGTGGGCATACACACTCGATGAACATGGTGACAAAATCTGGCTCGCCGAGGAACAGCAACGTGATCGATATCGCGAATACGTGCAAGTCAACATCGGCGATGCGCTCGCGAGGAACGAGCTTTGCGTGTGCGGTGTGGAAAAAGGAGAAGGTGGGAAAGATATTCTTTCGGTTGACGTCCCAGGGCACAACATCACTCTTGTTGGACGCACCGACTTGATCATACTGAGTGATCAGGTCTTGGAGAACCCAGTCGAAGTGAAGCTGCTGCCTGACGTGAGATTGATCATTGAAGTGAAGCGAGAGGTGAAACCAAGCTCCATCAATCAGACTGTGTCGGAGCTGATCGCACTAGATATTATGGTTGCTGAGCAGGTGATGGCACTCTTGACCGACTTTGGAAAGCATTGGCAGTTTTTTTGGGTCGCCGACCCGACTAACAGCGAAGGTATCATCCAATCGGTGATTATTAATAATCCTAGCAAGGCGTTTGCGGTGATCAGGACACTACTCGACCAGTCACCAAGTGCTGGTGCTGATGCAGCGATCGGCCTACCGTGCGTCAAAGCACCTATCAAGCGACAGAAGCTTTCTGGTGTCCTGGTCTCCAGCGGAGAGGATAGCGGTACTGGTATTCGCGAGAGCTTGGAACGATACTATGACATCGCCAGTATATTAGGCCCCGACATGGACATGGCGCGTGCTGTAGCTAGACAGGTCACCCGATCTATTCCCACGTTGAGTTATTTCAGCTAATCTTGCTGCTAATTAGTGTTTTTGTCTAACCTGATAAATATAAAGTTAGTAATATAGTAAGATGGCGTACTCACCTGAACAATACCAAGCAAAAAAGATAGCATCAAAGCAGCGCAGAGGCGATACTATTTAAAAACTAGGGAAACGCGTTTGGCTAAGCAACGAGAATATGATGAGAAAAATCGCACAGAAATACGTGCTCGTAAGAAGAAAAACTATATAAGCAAATCGGAGACGATTTAACTTTGCTGGATTTTTCTAAATTAATTATTTTTTTCTCTCAGATATAAATTCTGCCTCCTATATAAAGTCGATCCTGATATAAGGTCCTATTATTATAAAGTCGAATTTCACAAGATTAATATAGTCGAAAATATATAGCCAATATGTTTGCATACGAACTCGCTGGATTAAAGAGATTAAATATTCACGCAGTCAAATGGGGCAGCAGCTATCGGGTTAAGGTTCGTGGTAGAACTGGCAAGATGGTATATGTTAGCAACATATCGCGTTCGGTCAACAAGAGATTGGTGGCCAAGCAGTACAATATTTCGATTGAAACACTTGAGACGCATATGTCGCCTGATTTCAAGGCTGATCCTAAGTACCGTTATTACAGTGGTAACCATATGGAATCACACCTATATGAGGACATTGGGGCTAATGACTTCTACGATAAGCTCGAGAACGTTCTTTCGACCCAGGCAAGTGCCTTTAAGGTAAATATTGCTCTGGGCTACGAACTTATCAGCAAGACCGATCCTGATGATACTCGCTACTTCTACCCGAATCTCGCAAATACTCATGTATTCAATAGTCCCATTGCCATCAACAGCAAGGCTGACATTCGAAAGAAGGTGATCTCTGAAATCCGATCGATGGAATTGGCTGACAAACTGAACTACCCCAGCTCTGGGTATAAGCTCAAGGCGATCACTGCATTCAAGATTTTCATCTACCATCGCGATCATGCTCTTGGAGATAGCGATGCTGCTATTCCTAAGATTATCCGCGAGAACAAGCATGTGATCAACTTTACTAAGACAAACAATAAGTGTGTCTTCCACTGTGTCGCCTGGCATACATTCCAGAGTCCTAAGAAGGATCCTCGAAGAATTCAGGCTCAGGTAAAGGAGGCATTCAAGCGCTACTGCTCTTTTAAGGGGGTTAACTATTCGTTGAGCCAGTTTCGAAGCTTCAAGCCCATTGACCTACTACAGCTCGATGAGGTTGAACACTGCTTCCAACTTGGTATAAACGTATATACTATGGATGTAGCGTCTGGAAATGTAGAGTGCATTCGTAGATCGGACAAGAAGTATGAAGCTATTGATATTCTATCACACGAGAATCACGCTCTCTACATCAAAAACATTGGTATGCTTCAGTCTAAGTATCAATGTTCTAAATGTGAAATGATTTTCTTGACCAGTGAAAGGCTTAAAAACCATAAGAAGAATCAGTGCGAGCTTGTGAATATTGAGAGTTTCCCCGCTGAGCCAACTATTTACAAGCCAGCTCCTAACGTAATTCGATCACTGCTTACAAAGTATTCCATTAAGGAAGCTGACCAGTACATCGACCACTTTATGGTTTA